ACCTTGCCAACAAAAGTCTGCATAGTCAAAGCTATGTTTTTTCCCGTAGTGACATATGGAAGTGAGAGCTGGACCATAAAGAAAGCTGACCGCTGAAGAATTGATGCTTTTGAACTGTGGTGCTGGAGGAGGCTCTTGAGAGTCCCCTGGACTGCAATGAGAACAAACATACCAATTCTAAAGGAAATCAACCCTGAGTGCTCACTGGAAGGACAGATCCTGAAGCTGAAGCTCCAATATTTTGGCCATCTCATGAGAAGAGAAGACTCCCTGGAAAAGACCCTGATTTTGGGAAAGTGTGAGGGCAAGAGGAGAAGGGGATGACAGAGGACGAGATGGTTGGACAGTGTGATCGAAGCTACCAACATGATTTTGACCCAACTCCGGGAGACAGTGGAAGATAGGAGGGCCTGGCATGCTCTGGTCCATGGGGTCATGTAGAGTCGGACACGACTGAATGACTAAATGATGATAGCCCTTAAAAGGGTCAATGAAACAGTTTTTTACCTGCCCATGAAAGAAAAAAAGGATAGCACCGTAAGACTTTCCTTACAGAGGAATAGGAAGCTCTAAGACTGAGGGGCCACAATGGTGAAGGCCTTGTGTTCTGTCACAACCTCCTTCAATTCAAATGTGGTGGAGTAAGCAGGACATCATGACTGCTCTTTTCCCATCTGATTATTCCCATGTGGATGGTGAAGGATAACTGCATAGCTCTTATGTCCTTTCAGCTGTCATTATTTTGTCATAAGTATAAAGGCAAACACCCTGAATCTGCACAAAGCCAAGGAGTGACACAGCATGAGTCATTTGCGAACGCATTCTCTAGGCACTCCAGCAGATTTCATTTTGATGCTAATGCAAGACGGAGAGAACTGGTAATGCGTTTTGCATCATTTCCCTTAGTTTTCGGGGCTTTTTACAACAAGCAGCTAATTAAGCCAGCCCCCTCTCTTTAAATGCCAAGTGGAAGATTTATTTGTACATGTTTGCTAAGTGTATTTTTGTATGTGTGTAGAGAAGAAGAAATAGCAGGCTGTTGTGGTTTCAGATATAATATATTATTTTTTACCATATCACCCTGCCCAGGCAGTAATGGGAGTGGAAGCCAGCTTCCCTGAAAAAGCACTATTGACCAGGAAAAAAATTGTTTCTTTACCTTTTAGAGGCATTATTTCAAAATCTGTTGATGCTTTTCCTTTGGTTTCAATAGGACAGTTTGCACCTAATAATAAATCAAGTGTAGGAATAGCTTTCAATCCAAAGGTTTATTCAGTTCTAGAAGGGTTCTTGGCTATCACCTTCTGTGGTGGGTGGGGCCAGAGGCAAACATTGTGGTTTAACATGCCATATTTATGGGGAGTTAGACAGAGTTCTAACTCCTGTCCTCTGAAGATGCTGGCCACAGAGACTGGCGAAACGTTAGGAAGAAAAGACCTCCAGAACACAGCCAAACAGCTCAAAAACCCTACAACAACCATCGGATCCCGGCCGTGAAAGCCTTAAAGAACAAATGCCGTATTAAAACTTCTATTACTAGTAACTAAGGCTTCAGAATGGAATTTCAACCATAAAGAATGAGGGGAAAAGAAACAAAAGCTGGAAAATAACAAAAGCTGGAAAATAACCAAACAATGATTCAATGATGAAAAAATAGTCTAGGGAAATCCTTGGGAACCGATTTGGATCCTATGAGACTAGATTTTATTCTGGAGCTGGAATTTCTCCATGCCTGTGCTAAACTAGTTTAGCATTATGTGGACATCCAGTACAGTTCCAACTGGGCATTTTCATTTCTGTTGTAAATTAAGCACAGTTTAGTGTGTTTGATCCTGAGAAACTGTGGTTAACCTAAACAGTAGTTTGTTGAAACAAGCAAACTGTAGTTGAGATTAATCGTAATTTGTCAGGTTCAGATGTCAATGCAATTTGTGCTTAAAAAAAACTGTAGTCAATCAAGTTGTTTTAGAGATAACTGCACCCCTCAAAGTGCAATTCTTTCTGGTGACCTTTTGTCTCTGGGTCAATGGTTTTCATCCCAAAATAGTGCAAAGTATGATGATGTGTTCTTCATAGTATGCAGCCAAAGATAGTTCCCACTCTCGTAAAGGGTTAAGAATAATTGGTTTGATGACTGTACCTCAGAAATGATTTTAAACATTTTAAGAAGCAGTATCATCCCTTATTTATGTGTGGGCAAGAATTTGTTTTGTTGTTGTCATCATCATCCTAAATGCACTTGTCCAGCATCTTTTTCCCCAGGGGGTCTTTATTGTACATATTGGAGTAACATTTTTCAGCTGTGTCATGGCTGGAGAGCTGGGGGTTGTGCTAATGGCGCTGTGCGCTTCTTTCTCAAAAGGTCTTTAACAAGTAATGTTGAGCACTAATGACCCAGTGTACAGCCTGGCATGCGCCTGATGGTTTTTCCACAGATCAAAAGCACTGATAATCAGCACTCAGATGACTCATATCTTGCCAGCAGTTGGGAAAACGAAGGATTATAGGAACAGCATTTGCTCTTTAAAAACAAAACACAACTGTGGTGCTGCTTTGGATCTTTTCCCAGCACACTTACCTATTGCATGAAAACAGATTACACACCTTGCATCATTAAGGGCAGTAGCATAGTAGTAAATATTGAAGAGCATCTGCTCATGATGAGAGTCACCATGGCCACCTCCCACCAAGAGAATCAAAACATGCAGGCAGATGTCTTGATTACAATCAATAAATCAACTCTAACTACCGTATTTTTCCATGTATAAAATGTATAAAATGACACTTTTTCCTAAAATAGAGGAAAAATTGAAGGTCATTTTATACACGGAAGTAAGGGGGAAGGGATCAAAGCCCTTTGATTTCTGCTTTTCCCCCTATACTTTGCAAAAAGCTGCTTTCCCCCTCCATTTTTTTGCAAAGAAAGTGGAGGAGGAAAGCAGGAATCGCTTTCCCCCTTCACTTTCTTGCAAGGGAAGTGCTTTCCCCCTCCACTTTCATTGCAAAAAGTGGAGGGGGAAAGCAGCTTTTTGCAAAGAAAGTGGAGGGGGAAAGCAGGAATCAAAGCCCTTTAATCCCTGCCTTCCCCCTCCACTTTCTTGCAATGAAAGAAATTTTGGGTTAGAAAAGGGGGGTGTCTTATACACAGAAAAATATCTCCACCAGGAGCAGGTTTTCTGTAAAGTCAGTGGCTCAGACAAAATCAAAATATCTTCCATTACAACATGATGAGCTCATTGGTGCTAGAAGACGTTCCACCCTCTGCTATTGGGAAGACTACAACCGAGCTCATAGGCAACAGGAATGCCTGAGGGAGGTGGTAGAGGATGTTGTGGTCCCGAGAACCTTTAACATATCTGCCCTGACATGATAAAGCGTAGTGGGCAACTTCTGAGGGTTTTCGTGGCCTTTTTCCAGCCGCAGGACCCTCTGGAGGCCACATTGGTCTTTTAGAATAAAACTAGAAGGGACTGGAAAGTCATCTGCTTTTTTCCTAAATTTCTAGGGTTTTTTTTAACATGCTTTTCTTTTGCTGAAATAAAGGGCATAACTTGTTTTAGAGGATGATCAGGTCACCTTATAGGGGCGCTTCCCCTGTTCTTGTGTGGGGCTTTTTGAGAGAGAAAAGGGGAAAAAATGCTTTAATGGGAAAAAAGCCTCTTTTTTTCCTTAGAGAAAGAGCTCAAAAGGCAGGAAAATTGGCCTGATGGGGAGTTTGCAGCCCACAGATTGATTGAGATCTGCTTCTGCTCTTCAGTTTAGCTCCTTTATGCCACTGAATACCCCTTTTGCTGCAAACAGCCTTGCTATTTTTGGCATGAGTGTTGCTTGCCAGGAACCTGTGTTATGGCCCCAGGCAATCAGTCGGGGATAAACACTGAATAAGAGGAGGAGACGACTCTGAGCCTGGGTGTAGATGCAGGCCCTTGTTTTCAGGCAGCCAGGGTTTAATCATTGTCATATTTATTGTTATTGTATTCCACAGTCTGGGCAGAAGGCAGGCAAAAGGAGTAGGGTTCACTCACCCAGTATACAATAATCTTGTGCATAAACATCATCTGGTCACAGCAAACAACAGCTCTAGAGGACTGAAATAGGCAAGCAGACAAGCGAGAAGTAAAAGAAGATGATGGGAATACTACCCCCCCAAACAAGAAAACCCGCCAGGACCTTCTGGCCAAACAAAATACAGCATACGCTCATTCCAACAGTTTGTATCTATTCATATTAGTGTGAATATTATGTAGTTGATGGAAGGAAGGAAGACATTTCGAGAAACACAGCTTAAAGAGTTTGGCAAATGCTGGTCTAGTCATTCTCTCAGTGGCCACACAAACTGTGTCATGAGATGATAGGAAGAAAATGTATGTGTACATGTATGTTGCTTTTAAACTTGTGGTATCCTGGAAAATGGGATCAGTGCAGGCTGGAGTTTCAAAGGGGAATGTTGCACACGGTTTCCTCTTGTTTTCATCTGTACACAGATGTCCCTTAACACACCAGGAATGCTCTGGTCCATCCAAGAGCAAATAGGCAGAGAACTGGCTGCCCTACAGATGGTTTGGATTCCAGCTCCCTGGTCATTAGTCATACTGGTTGGGGTTCATGGGGAATGTAGTCCAAAATATCCACAGGGCACGAGATGGTTTGCCCCTATCAACCCTTACTTACTCCCCTGGAACTGACATTAAGATGACAGCACTAACTTTAAGTCTTTGTTCTACTATGTTCTCCTCCAATCCTAGATGTAGGTTGCTGTTCAGTTTATCTTAGTATGAATCTATTGACTTTTTAAAAGAGAGTCATTTCTAGTTTCTGGCCTTGTTCCAGCAGTTATGCTCATTTCTCTTCCTCTGATTTAGCCATCATGGGTTTCTTTGAAACATCAGAGAAATTTCATTGCATTTGAAGACAGAAATCCCTGAGCAAGAATTGGTTTTGCACCATGCATGCCACTTTCTCTAAGCTTCTTCTCTCTCTCTCTTTTCGGTCACATTCAGTCTACGGCCACAATGTGAAAAGCAGCAATGACTTCATTGGAAGAATCGTGATCGGCCAGTATTCCACAGGCTCTCCGGAGTCCAAACACTGGAGACGGATGCTCAGTTCCCACCGCACCGCCGTGGAACAATGGCACAGCCTACGCTCCCGGGCGGAATGTGACCGCGTCTCACCAGCTTCTTTGGAGGTGACGTGAGGACGAAAGGAGTGACTCAGCTAGCCAACTACTGCAGAAATCGAGACCAAGTCAAAGTCATCCATGCACTTGTACATTAACTACCATGGAATTAAAAGGAACTTTTACAACCACCAATAATCCAACACTTGTGTTAGCCTCCATGCCTCATCCAGCTTTTCCTCATGCACCCCACTGTTTATTTTCTCAGGACCACAGACAGAGCAGCTTGTGACATCCTACTACTTGCATAAGCCACTGCATCTCATCTTAATGTTGCAGTGTAGGACAGTGGAAACTATTCTGAATCTGAAAGGCTGTCCATGGATATATTTTCAGAGTTCCTTTGTTGCCTGCTCCATTGTTGTCTAGTGCAGATCAGAGACTGGTCAATGGTGAAAATTGCTGAGTCGCATAGAAGCTTTCCAGTCAGTTCTCCTACACTTGAACTCCACATGCCCATGAGCCAATGTATTGGAAGATGTCAGTTCATGTGTGCGCTCTTTGGTGAATGTGCAAGCCAGTAGACTAGAACCTAGGACACTTGTTTTAGCAGTAGAGTATAGGGTGCAACCAGTCTTGTCTAAACCCAGTCTCTTGTCCTTGTATGAGCTTAACGAAATATAATGTGCACTTTGTGTCCTGAGCTCGTCAGTGGAATAGGAATGGAGGTCATCAGCTCTTTCCTTTTCAATCTGACATGTCAACGTGTTATCACATGGATCCAATGTCATGCCCCTCAAGAACCTCTGAGCCATGTAATGAGAAGCTGTATTCTGAAACTAGCTTGCCCTTGAGTAGGCCTGTTTAAACTCAACTAAGCACCTTTAGGTGGAGAAAGCTGCCTGAGAATTGGGGGATCATAGCCTGGATCTAGAGTGCCATATGGTCACAGTGGTCTGATATAGATGAGTGGCATTATTTGCTCCCAAAGATGAAGCTCCATGAATGTGAGGTGAATGTGCAAGATTCCCCTGTCATAGAAGCGGTGGAGGATACCTGTGGAAACCTGGTGTGGGCAAGCTCAAGGGATTTGGGGCCAATTTCGTGGCCCTCATCCCCCTCCATTAGCAGCACAGAGTCTGAAAATAGCCATTTTTAGCCTTAATTAAAGGTGGCGGGAAGAAAATAAGAAGTGTGTGTAGGGGCATCTCCAGTTTGGGGTTTTTAATTCTCTCCAGTGGGTGGGACTTATGGGACACCACAATATGCAAATTTTTAAAAACCACTTGCTCCTGGAAGCCTCTAGGAGCAGAAAGCCACCAATTTTTGTGTTGTTGGTTTTGTTAAATCATTTAATTTGAGCCCTTCTGGGGTCAGCCCATCAGCCACCCTGTCAGTATACCCCATGGGTGTTTAGAGCATCATCTTCCAAAAGTCAAAGGGAAGAGATTGTTGACGTTTAGGTCCAACAGTACCCTACCCCAAAGAACAGAACTCTTTTCCCAACAATGCCTCACTAGAAGAGCTGTTATTAAAAGCAGTCGTTCTTGCTCTTCCGTGTTTGTATGTTTTGTCCCACCTATCATTTGATGAAAGAACACCAGTCCCACCAGGATAGAAACCAAGAGCCCATTTTTGCTTCCTTCTTCATTGATTCGTTCACCAACATTTCTTTATTCTACCATGAGAACATTGATCAATAATGGTAAGTTTTAAGGTCATTAAAAACTGCAGTAATATTGTTGGGATTAAGTGCAAACAAGAATAGTACTTCTAAAAGTAGCTGAAAAGTGCAATAAAACTGCCTATATATAAATTTACTATGGTAATGGAGAAGTTCAAAAAATAATAAATTTTAAATTGCATGCCAAATTTGTAGGAAGGTGCAAGGAGTGAGAGATCAATAATGGTAAGTTTTAAGGTCATTAAAAACTGCAGTAATATTGTTGGGATTAAGTGCAAACAAGAATAGTACTTCTAAAAGTAGCTGAAAAGTGCAATAAAACTGCCTATATATAAATTTACTATGGTAATGGAGAAGTTCAAAAATAATAAATTTTAAACGGCATGCCAAATTTGTAGGAAGGTGCAAGGAGTGAGAGGGAAAGTGAGTTCTGAGTTCCAGCTACACTAGTTTTATAACTTATTGGTAATATGTTTACCAGTGCTTGAGAATGACTGCTTCAGAGATCATATCTGGGCTAGAAATGGAAAGCATCTCGCTGACTTTTGGGGAAACATTTTTGTCAAAAAATCTCTCGTAAGGGCCTTTGAGGCAGCATTCGCAAGGCCTGAGTCCTTGTCCGTTTCATAACACAGAACTTGTGATAATCAAGGAAAGATGACTTTGCCACACCCATTCTTCAAATCCCAGTGTGTTGAACTGTTCTTGTTCATATGTCAGCAAATGGCTGGCTTTTTAACTCACTATATGTAGAACATGTATTGCATTATGTACATATCAATGTTGTCTTACTCCAGTGGTGGGCAAAGTGTGGATGTTGTACTCCAGATGGGCTGAAGGGAGTTGAGAGTCCAACGGCATCTGGAAGGTCACACTTTTCCCACCGGTCTTAAATTAACCCACCTTGTCTGAGCCAAATGTATGGAAATTTAATGAGTATACAAATTGCTTCACATTTATTGTAGAGGTCCTAAGATTGTTTTGTTCTAGGTATCAGTTTTGGACGGTATTAAAGACCTGATGGAGTTATATGCTGCTTTTATACCCATTAATAACTCTCCCTGTTTTATGTTGTAGGGCTTGAAAATACCTCTGCATATCTTTAACAGCAGCCAGAATAACATTTAAGATTTAAGTGGAAAAGTTTAAGATACCAGCAGACTATTTTAAGAGCTTGGACATTTTATGGATTAAGTTGTTAAGTATTAGGAACATTGGAATGTGGCTTAAGGTAAAAGTAACCAATATTAGTTAAGATGGTGGTGTCATTCAGACGCGACATAATAGTCTTCTTTGTGGAGGCTATTTATTTTACTTACTTTATTTATTTTACTTAGCACTCTGGCATTCTCCCCCAGAATCCTCCCATAGGTTAAGATAGGAAAGTATGTGGAGATTTAGACCCTCTTTATTTCCCCTTTTCTGATATCTTTTTTTAATAGTTTGCAATCAGAATATTTAATGGTCTTCAGTAATATAAACATGAGGGAAAGATTTGGACAGAAAGAGTGACTGATTTTTTTTAAATGATAAAATTTGGATCTTCTAAGGTGCAATATAACTATATGGAAATTAAGTTATTGTGGTTGTTAATTTGGATGTCAGTAATAAAACATTTCTTCAAAAATGAACTGTAACAATACATTTTATCTTACAGTTGGAGCATTTGCATGAACATGTTCATCAGTAGATTTATTTTAGAGTTTTGAAAAGCCTTGTTATAAGAAGATTAATATATGCTATAGTGATGTACCGTATTTTTCGCTCCATAAGACGCACCTTTCCATAAGTCGCACCAATTTTTTAGGAGAAGAAAACAGGAAACAATACATTTTATCTTGGAGCATTTGCATGAACATGTTCATCAGTAGATTTATTTTAGAGTTTTGAAAAGCCTTGTTATAAGAAGACTAATATATGCTATAGTGATGTAAATATGTAAAAGTATATACTTGTATAGTTATATGAATTGTATTTTAAAACCATGGTATTTTTCCAAAGTGGCAGATGAACTTAATCAAAGTGTGTCTTATGGTGCGAAAAATACGGTAAATATGTAAAAGTATATACTTGCATACAGTAGTTATATGACTTCAGTGTATTTTAAAACCATGGTGTTTTTCCAAAGTGGCAGATGAACTTAATCAGATATCCGTTTCTGTCAGTTCTGCTTGGTGATTCTGTGCCTTCCATTGCATACAGCATGCTGTCTGAGGAGGCTTATTTAAGGCAAAAGAAAGTTCTGTTTCTGTTAAATAGGAATGAAGCAATGCTTGAACCCAAGCACACACACAGACATAATCGTGCCCTTGCATCTTCTGGATCTACAGTAAGCAAGTTTGCTTCACCTTCCACATGACAGCCCTACAAATTTTTGAAGATGGTTTTCCTAGTGCTTCTCGGTCTTTTCTTCTCTCTTCTCATTCAGCAGTGCTCTTTGATGAGAACCAAGCTGGAGGAGAAATGGAATAGACTCACCTACAGGAGGACTTGCCTGGCTGGCTGGCTGGCAGGAATTTTGAACTGGGCCATTCCACACTGTCACTTATTTCATGTACGACCAGTGTAAGCTTTTTCTCTCACTCTTCTCCTGCTCCGATAAAGTTTGGGCAAAGGAGTTGAGGAAATGGAAAGTACTTCTGTTAATATTATATTCTGAGGTAGCTCCATGCATATAAGATAATATAAATATCTGAGCTCAATGGCTGTGTGAAAATAGCAAGAAGGGTTGGTGGCACAGAGGCATCTGGAGATTTGGAGTACTGTTTGTAAAGGCTTGTACCAACTAACACTTGTCAGCCCATAAGATGCCACAAAATTCTCCATTTTGTTTTTACAAGAGATTTGGAGTAGTGGATCCTTTCCTCCGTTAGATGAGTACACAGCGTTTGTTCCTCGAGTTCATCCCTCCACCCCTAAGGTCTCTTCAATGGTTTGGGGATTATAATCCATTAGACTCAGTGAGCGAAGTTGAGGCTGTGCGCCAACAACATCTAAAGGGGCCAACTTGGGGAAAGCTGCCTCCAGTCCCTTATTGAACAAATGTCTAAAACAAGGAATGGGTCACTTGTTGGGCTGCAAATCCCACTGGCCCTGGCCAGTGTCGCTGATAATAAAGAAGAATGGGAGGTGTAGTCCAACAATATCTTGGAGAGACACGTGGGGTATACACTGACTGGCAGCAATTCTCCAGGATTTTTTGGCAAGGAGTCCTGTGCAGTGTCCCTAGGGATGATTGGGATTTCAACCCCAAGACTTTCTACCTGTAAAGCAGACGCCCTGCAAGTGAGCAGCAGCCCCTCCTTGCAAGGGGTTCTGCAGAAGGAAAGAGAGACTGAGAGAGAGGGAGAAGCTCTACCTATGGAGCAAGGTTCAGAGTTAAACGGTCTGGGTACTGATATTCAGTAGCCCGGTACACATTCAGTTCAGTAATATACTATAGCGCTAGAGTGGGCAGTCTTTCTGGGCCTGAGGGTCCTTTTTTCAGATTTCCAGGCAGTCTGAGAGCCGCACATCTAAGAGGGGGGGCCTTCATGCAGAAGGGTGTGGCCAAAGGCTCATTGACATGTTTTATTCTGGTTTAACTTTTGTTTGTTTTGTAAAGGTCATTGCAGTTAACTAAAAATGGGTTTAAACAAACAAACATCCCCAAAAGCCCTCTCGTTTCTTGTTTTTAATGGTCACAACCCACAGAGGCAGTTTTTGTCAGCTGAGGCACACGGTCAACAGTCCCAAATCAGAATCAAGGTAATGCTGGAAATGGGGTAGGGTGCAAGTAACCAAAGAGGCAGGAAAAAGCTGTGAGATCCACAAAGTCAAGCCAGGCCAGTATCTACCACAAACCTACAGTAATGCCCAGTCCATGAATCGGTGACCAGGGTCCAGGTGCACTGGATGCAAGAACAGGAACTGATAGAGAGGCAGTCCCTTGTGTGTCACCATTTAAATTAATTTTTCCGTAGCTGGCCTGCCAGAGGGCCACTGTGTGCTCAACTGCAGGCATTTGGCCAGCTGGGGAAGGAATGCAGTTGTGGTTTTTTGCCTGCTGGTCTGAGGAGGAAAAGCTTTCATCAGAAGGCTGCCTACTCTTGAGGAGGCCTTCTCTTCTGAGGAGGCTTTGTCAACAGCTGCAAACCTCTATCCCAGCGTATGCTTTCAGCCTGCATCATGTTCATGGTCTGGGAAGCAATCCAGACTCCTCTTGGAGCTTGGCTGCAGACTCCCCACTATTTGGGTATCCCAGGCTCCTAGCCCTGTGTGGATCCAGAGTCTGTGGGACCTTGCATTGACTAATGGTGGGTTCTTCTTCATAGCCTCTGTGAATGCACGCAAATGGGTTAGACTGTACCTGCTCAGGACTCCTCGGAATTTTCTAGACCTTAAAAACGTGATTAGTAGGACGTTTCCCCGTGGCGTGCATGCTACGCCCACCCATAATACCTCAGTTGCTTCTTGCCACTGCTGAGATCAGACTCTTTCGCGAAGTCTTTTCAATTGTTACCTATTTCATGGTTTTTGATTCTGGTCTGGCTTCTTGACTGCCGTTTGTGATTTGTGGAGTACTTTGACCTTTGGACTGGCTTTGTTTACAATTACAATTGTCGGATTTGGATTGGCTACCTTTTTGTGTTTTCTGGATTACTGACCTTTGGACTGATTACCATTTCTGATTTGGCTTATGGACTTTATCATGATTTTCGGCTTCTAATCTCTTTCGGCTTCTGACTTGGACTGGCAATCAACGTTTTCCCGTGAGTTCTTCTCTCTCTCCCCCCCCCCCTTCTTCTGTTCCTGTCAATTTTTATGGCCTTGTCAGGTCCCTTTAAGCACTGTACATCATGTGCTAATAAGATCCCCTTCACGGATGGACAGGACCACTGCTTATTTTGTTTAGGGGAGAGGTACCAGACCCACTCCTGTCCGGAGTATAAACAGTTGACCAAGCTTGCCTTTAAGCTCCGCTTACAACAGCTTCGTTCATACTTGTGGGAAAAGTCTTTAACACTGGAGTATAAACAGTTGACCAAGCCTGCCTTTAAGCTCCGCTTACAACGGCTTCGTTCATACTTGTGGGAGACGTCTTTAACACCCTCGAGCCCGGCAGACGTGGAACCTACCTTGACTCCTGCTCCTCCTACTCCTCATTCCGAGCCTGCTGCTTCATCGGCTCCTGCCACCCCTTCTCTGTATGCTTCTTTGAAAGCACCTAAGCTGAAAAAGTCTTTGGCATCGATGTCGAGCTGATATCAAAATTGCCATCAGTAAAGGATCCTAAGAAAAAGAAAGAAAGCAGAAAAAGCCTAAACAATCTGCTAAATCTGCTCATCCTTGGGAGATCCCTCCAGTTCCAGTTTCTCTTCCATCACCAGTACTCGAGGAATTGTCCAGAGAGTTACCAGCCAAGTTTCTCTTCCGTCACCAGTACTCGAGGAATTGTCCAGAGAATTACCAGATCCAGACTCTTTTTCTGAAGCGGGCAGTTCTGTACCTGCACCACGGGCTCAGGCTTCGGTAGCGATACCAAGGCTATCTCCCACTCATGTCCATTCGGAGGCTGATGTGATCTCCAGCACGGCCTCAGCCCATTCAAGCCCTAAGTCAATCGGGCAGGCAACAGTAATTCAACTGTTGAACTCGGAGGTGTCACCACAGCAGTCTCCTCCACGTAAACGGCTGGCTAAACGTTGACACATCTCTCCAGCCCAACAGTATACTCAGCATCAGGAGGTTATATTTCTTCCTCGTCCATCTCGACATCGGGCGTTCTTGGATTATGAGGAGCCTTTGTATGTAGAGGTCAATCGAAGGGGTAATCGACATCTATACCATGGGGACAACCTCAACCTCAATCCCTACAAATTAATGCCGGCGATTATGTAAGATCCAAAAGAGTGTGTTATGTCTATGCCACTTCTTCTGGATCCTCCTAGTCGTCCTCTCTTCCTCAGTGTCGACATCGAGCTTATTATCAGCTTGGCCCTCCGCCATCAAAGCCGGCTTCTAAATGCCATTTATCTCAGCAAGACGTTCCTCAACAAGCGGTCCTTCTGTCGAAGCGTTCTCATGTCCCTTCAGTGCCGTCATCCTCGGTATTGCAACCGAGAGCATCTCACGTTTGGTCTTCTCGTCAAGGTGCTTCTTCTAAAAGTTCTCATCCACCTGAAATGGATGCTTCAGCACCAATTCCTCGAGCTCCAGCCCATGTATCAAAAAGTCATTGTCACTCACCTGGTTTTCATTCCAGCTATGCTGGACCTCATAAAAGAATCATGGAATCAACCGTCTACATCTCTTCAGATTTCTAGGCATGTTGAGAATCATTACAAAATGCATGGCAGTGACACTACTTTCCTCACTAAACATCCCGCACCTAATTCTATTATAATACAATCTAATCAATCACGGGATGGAAACCGGTCAATTCGAACCTCTTAATGAGGGTGAAAGAGGAGAGTGCAAAAAACGATCGGAAGCTCAACATCAAAAGAACTAAGATCATGGCCGCTGGCTCCATCACCTCCTGGCAAATAGAAGGGGAAGATATGGAGGCAGTGACAGATTTTACTTTCTTGGGCTCCATGATCACTGCAGATGGAGACAGCAGCCACAAAATTAAAAGACACCTGCTTCTTGGGAGGAAAGCAATGACAAACCTGGACAGCATCTTAAAAAGCAGAGACATCACCTTGCCAACAAAGGTCCTCATATCAAAGCTATGGTTTTTCCTGTAGTGATGTATGGAAGTGAGAGCTGGACCATAAAGAAGGCTGACCGCTGAAGAACTGATGCTTTTGAATTGTGGTGCTGGAGGAGACTCTTGAGTGTCCCCCAGACTGCAAGGAGAACAAACCTATCCATTCTGAAGGAAATAAACCTTGAGTGCTCACTGGAAGGACAGATCCTGAAGCTGAGGCTCCAATACTTTGGCCATCTCATGAGAAGAGAGGACTCCCTGGAAAAGACCTTGATGTTGGGAAAGTGTGAAGGCAAGAGGAGAAGGGGACAACAGAGGATGAGATGGCTGGGCAGTGTCTGTGAAGCAACCAACATGAATTTGACCCAACTCCGGGAGGCTGTGGAAGACAGGAGGGCCTGGCATGCTCTGCTCCATGGGGTCACAAAGAGTTGGACACGACTAAACAACTAAACAACAACTGCAGTGATCAGACAGCTAGGGTTTTTGTCTTGTCCTAACTGGATAATTCCTTTTGTAGAATCATAATATATGTCCGATGCAGAAAGCACTCAGTGCCAAAATGGCCTTCATTTGTGACATTTCAGTGAATGGCATGTGGCTTACACAGCTTTTTTCCTCTTTGCTTTATCCCCTCAACAGCCTACCAAGTAGGTCAGACTGAAGGTGACTGGCCATGGTGACCACCACTGTAACCCACTGCCTACCTCGCTGTCTCTCATTGTAGCGCTGCAATCTTTACAGAAGGCTTCTTTGGTCTTATCATTCAACTTTCTTCCATCTGGCCAGGATCATACCAAAACATACAACACAGTAAAAAGGAATAGGATGCCAACGCTGGCTTTGTCTTCCCAATCCTCTCAGCTAATTTGGCTGCTCTTGGTGGAATTCCGTTTTTCTGACAAAGCTGTTCATGTCACTGGGGTGCCTGAGAGCCTCAAGGCATGAGTTAGTTCTTCTTTTCTGCTTGCTATGGAGTCAAAGTGCATTGACCGGCCGCTTATTTTCCAGTCACCCCTGTAATCCCTTTCTAATAACCGCTGACCTCCTGCTCTTTGCTCACCAGCCTTGCAGCCCAAAAGATGTTAACAGTGGCAGGCGGCTTGAAGAAAAGGGCGCCCCGTGTCAAAGGTATCTCAATTAATGAGAACAAAGTCACTTTTTTGGTGGAATGAGCACTGCTTTCTAGTTACTTCTAAAAATTACTTTAAAAGGGAATTTCAGAGGCATCTTTGCAGGCATTTCTCAAGTTTTATTCCTTTCTCTTTTCCATTGTGAGTTTTTTTTAAGTAATTAAAACTGGGCCAATAAATTTTCAAACATAAAAAATAACAAACTGTAACAAGCAGCACATACAAATTCATTTTAAAAAGTTACTTTTCAAGCTCTGATCAGAGGTGATGATTATCAGTCTTGCTGGAATGAGGCACTTTTGAAATTCCATCCGCTACTTAACCCCTCCCCCCCTTTGCAAGTCTTTGCAAGTTAAACTTGTTTAAGGCTCATGGAACTGAAATGCATCCTCTTTCCTTCTCCTTGGTGTTTGATTTACTGACCTGGAAGAGCTGTAGATTCTTTCTTGTTCTTGGCATTTGCGATCATTCAGAAATGCACTGTTTTTCCCAGCCAAAACAGGGTAATCTGAAGAAGTCTCTTATTTTACATACATCTCTGGTTAGTTCCCAGTGATGAGATGCAGTGTCCAGACTGTACTGCTGCAGTCTAGAAGTAAAGGATTTCGTGAGGAAATGCTCCTGATTACAAACGGAATCCCCAGACACAGAAAGGTAGCATGTTAAGGAGAAAGATTTGAATCTTATTTTCTTTTTGACATGTTAGTTTTCTATATGCAGGGGAGCCAATAACTTGTACAGAGGCGCGTGCGCTCCCATGAAACGTTAATGGGAGCTCATGGACTCAGTGTAATTTGTGTCTGTATCATTTGGGCATCTGTGATTTTTCACTTCCTTGCCTATCTTGTCTTCGTGAGAGTATAGTTCATGTTTGGGGAAAGGAGCGATGGCAGAAAAGAAGGCAATAGAGAGATAGCAAGATGTAATTGTAAGGAAAGCAAGATAAAAGGTACCAAATGCAGTGATCAGACAGTTTATGTTGCTAAACAACAGTAGTCTGCTTACTTGTATGTTTAAAAGTTGATGCGTTCCAGATGGGCGGTATATAAATCAAATAAATAAATAAACCCATAAAATAAGTATCCTCCCATCTTTTGCAATTTATTAATCAACCTCTATTGCTTTGACTCCCAAAGTGGAGATAGGGAAGAGAGAATGTAAGATGTGGCATGTTTGTGCTAAATTTGTTTTGTTTTCCCAGTTTCATAAAAGGCAAATCCAAATTTTCTTTATCTGATTGTGATGAGAAAAACATTTCATGACTTATTTTTAATTTTAAATTATGAATTGGATATTTTGTTAAAAGGAGGATGGTAAAGGAGAGATTGGGAAGAGTGAGGATTTCTCAAAAATGAAATAATGTATTTATATAAAATTTTAACCCTTCCATCTAGCGGCCAGGCCACTACTCTTAACGTTATGGTATCATAACATAAACAAGCAGTACAAGTACAATGATGATCCAATAAAACATCAAACAAAGAAAAAAGCAAATCTCTGGCTACAAAAATAACTAATACAGAAGATACAGGGGGAAAAAAAGGTGTGGGGCACCAAGAAGTTAGGGAACCTCTGCTAGGATAAGCTTTCCAGCTTAGCATTACCTTATCTGGAACTGGCTGCATTGTTGTGCAGACACTGTGTGTGTGTGTGGTGTGTGTGTGTGTGTGTTGGGGAAAGGAGCTGTTGAATGTCATATAAGATGAGGTAAAGAGAGTGAGTGAGTGTGTAGTAGTAGCTTGCTGGCTATCCTGTCAGAACCTTGGCCAACGGAGCTTGCCGAGAGTTCATCATCATCCCTCGGGTCAGAGGAGGGAGTTGTCCACCGAGGTTCTTCACAGCTGCTCTACTAACCTCAGTAGCACAACAGAAGGACTTGGAGCTGAAGGAAGGCGCTGGACAGCCCGTTCCCTCTGCTGCTCTAGAGCAACTTACGTATTCTGTGTCAGCGATGATATTCAATTGGAACTGCTGTGCCGCCTTCTATGGAATGATTCTTATGGTCCAGGCTTTCCCGCACACTAATATTAAAATCAGTCAAGGTGAGTGCACATTTTAAACATCTTTGAACAGAGATACCATCAGCCAACCCCTTTTGCATTTGCACTTTTGCATTCTTAATTAAATGCTAATTCTAATCTTAAATGTCAGTTTCTGCTCCTTTTTATTTTCAAGTGAGTTACATGCCAAGTTGAGATTCACAGATGACTTTGCAGGGTTCAAATATCTCACCTAAAAGGCAACTTGCAGAGTTACGTATCCAGCAATTTGCGGTTTTCTCTCTCACTCCAGTTCTTGAAGCATGCATTCTAATACGGCCTTGGAACTCTGATTAGCTGAAAAATCTATTTTTGGAAAGTACTTAAGTGGCCCAAAGTGAATGAAAATTTGAGAAGTGGATGCTTGAAAGTGACCATCAACATGGCTACAGAATGTATATATCCAGCACACAAACGTCTTTCATCTCATTTCCACATGACTATTTCTACAAATTCTGTGGGTCAACTTGTGTTATTGAATCACTGCAAAATTTTGGATTAATGAAATGCCAACAAACGAGATAAGTCGTTTGAAAGGATTCCTTAGTGGTTTTTTTAAAAAAAAACTTACTAAAGTCTTTGGGTGACTTTTGTTGACATGCTCCACCTCCTGTTCCATATTTTGCAAACTTATCTTACTTTCATCTTACCACTAGTGATTGTTGAGAATTTTTTTATATCAGTTTGTTTTTGCTAAGAATTCACTGTATGCAACAACAACCAAAAAAAACCTATATGGGATGGAAATAATTTGAGATGGTGGTGGTAGAGGTGGTGGTGGTGGTGATGATGATGCAACAACAACAAAAAACCTACTGTATATGGGTTATGGAAAGAATTTGAGATGGTGATGGTAGAGGTGGTGGTGGTGATGATGATGATGATGATGATTTTCAACAAAGGCGGGAAAAGCAAAACTCAGTACTTTGGGCCATCCAGGTCTGGATATGTGGTTGTCCAGCTTTTAAAAGTTTGCACTTGTAACTCTGGATAACTAATCATATTAGCACTGAATTAGTTTTCCCACTGTTTTTTCCCTTGAGAAGGTCTTCAGCTTTAATTTCTAAATGCTGGTACAACATGGTTCTCTCTATGTTGGCAATACTGACTGAATCTGGTATGTGTAAATGAGACAGAATGTTGTCCCAATTCTTTAATTTTTCTTTTTCTTTTTCTTTTCCTTTCTCTTCTCTCTCTTTATTTCTAAATGCTGGTACAACATGGTTCTCTCTATGTTGGCAATACTGACTGAATCTGGTCTGTGTAAATGAGACAGAATGTTGTCCCAGTTCTTTAATTTTTTTTTCTTTTCCTTTCTCTTCTCTCTCTTTCTCTTTCTCTCTGTCTCTCACTTTGGAGATTTTATGAAAATTCAGATTTCTGTGCATCTGGGATGGAAAGAACTGGTAGTTTTAAAAATCTGGATGCAATAGATTCCCCTATCCCCACTTTCAACCAACTGTGTAAATGAGACAGAATGTTGTCCCAGTTCTTTAATTTTTTTTTCTTTTCCTTTCTCTTCTCTCTCTTTCTCTTTCTCTCTGTCTCTCACTTTGGAGATTTTATGAAAATTCAGATTTCTGTGCATCTGGGATGGAAAGAACTGGTAGTTTTAAAAATCTGGATGCAATAGATTCCCCTATCCCCACTTTCAACCAAGGCTGATGTGAGAGCCAGTGTGATATATTTATTTATTTCTCCTAAAAAAAGGACCCAAAGTGGCTTATGTAATTAAAAACACAATATTAAAAGCTAAAAACAGTACATTGTTTAAATAGGAATAATGAATAATAACGCTACTGTATGAGAAAAATGTTAGGTAAAAGCATTACTGAAACAAATTTAGAAGCAACAAAATATAAACGGGGAAGAGAAAGGTCTTTGCCTGATTGTGGAAGGACAAGAAAGAGGGGGCCGACCTGGCCTCCAGTGGGAAGGAGTTCCAGAGTCTGGGAGCAGCAGTAGAAAAAGCGTCCTTCCATGACCCCACCAAACACAGTTGTGAGGGTGTCGTGACCAAAAGAAGGACCTTCTCTTGATGATCTGAACACTTGGGCAGGCTCAGAAAGGGAGACATGGCCCTTGAGATAGCTTGGACCCAAGCCAAAGGCTTTATAGGTTAGAACCAGCACTTTGAATTGTGCCCAGAAACGGACTGGCAGCCAGCGGAGCTGCTGGAACAATGGGGTTTATAGGATCTCTGTTAACAATCTGGCTGCAGCGTTTTGGACCCACTGAAGTTTCTGATCACTTTCCAAAGACAGCCTCACGTAGAGGGTGTCACAGTAATCCAGCTGGCTTGTGTCGGTGTGACCAGGTCAGACATCTTCAGGATAGAGTGTCAGACTAGAACTCAGATGACCCATTTTCAAATTCCCACTTGGCCACTGAAATAATGGGGATGGATGGCAATGGTACCTACCCCCTCAACATCCCACATACCTTGGAAACCTTATTACATGTTCCATATATCAGAAGTGACTTGACATCATATAAAAACAGACAAAAGATATATGAAAGGACTAACTCTAAAATTGTAATTTTAGAGTAAGTAAATTCTAAACTTCAGTTTAGTAGCTAATCTTATTCATAGGAGCCTCTGACCTTTGATTAGGACATATAGGGGGGAAATGGCCCATAAGAAAACCACTGACTAAAGGAAGTGACCACGTCCCCGACAATGCTATCTCACACACATCCTTCCGTAGCTACACAGCAAAGTCTTGTTCATCCATTCAAATCACCATTCCTACACTGTCCATTTGGCTGCGTGAGGAGGGGGTCCTCCTTTTAGTGGGAACCACTGGGAAATGCCACCTCAGGAGCTCAAAGGGAGATGGAAGTATAAACTGTTGAACCAATAATGAAGTTTGATTCTGTTCCTTTAGAATTCATTGAAGAAAATGAATTTTCTCTCTCATTTACAAGCATTAGATTTGCACAGCAAGGCCCAGAATGTTGTGTTACCTCAAGTGCTGCAGATGTTAACCATCACCGTGTGCCTACTTTATATCTGTGACGTTTAGGAGAATCACGGGTGATGTCCCTTGCATTTTATGGATTTTCAAATCCAGAATTTAATTCCCTACCTCCTCTAGGAGATGTAATGATTTCTGCATACTGAGGAGACCAATGAGATGACTCCTCTCTGGGGACGGGGCTGGTTTGCTCCTTTTGCTAGGAATCAGAGGACCTAATGCTAGAGCAAATCAGAATTCCTAAATACACATTTCTGGGTTCCAGTTAGGGGCAATACTTTTTTACATGCAGGTAAGGTAGTTCCTTTTTGGTTCATTTCGTGCACATACAGTCACTGGGACTGAATCAAAGCAGAGCTTCCTGCTTTGATTCCCCAACTGCTTTCAGTTTTCCGGTATTGTTACTGGCTTAAGCAACTTAGCCACTTAATATTGAGAAACTGAAAACTTCCTTCCTCTGTTCCTTCATGTACCTTTTAGGGGGTGAAATTTGAAAACTTCCTCCCTGAAGCAGGAGGAAACAGGAAGAGGCAATGAGGAGGATCTTTCTTTTCTTTTCTATTCTTAAGGGAGGTGGACCAAATAGGATCACTTGAGGTGTGGATGCCAAGCATGCACCACATGGCATACTGGACTTCTACCTGACCTTAAAAGACTTTATTTAGCATGACCTGCCTGTTCCAAATGAGCCATCTAGATAAACCTTCAATCTGTTGTTAGGTTGAAATAGCAGAGTCCCAGTTTCTGAGAGAAAGGTGGGGTATGAACCAAATAAATAGCAGAACTGTTGAATCAATGTGAACGATAAGTCACTATGTATGTCAAGTCCACATATGCTGTGGGTGTACTCTAGCTAAGATGAGCAATTGGATTTCAGCCTTAGTATCTACCGCCTTGTAAGAACCTGTGCTGAGTATTGTGGAATTGTAGAATTCTGAAGAAATTGATTAGGAATTAAAAGAAGAGGGAATGGAAACAGAATTTGTTCCCATCAACATCCTACAACAGTAAATGCAAAACGTCCCTTTCAATCCCGCATGGCTTGAAGAGGCAACCTACAGTCTGCTGGGACTGCTTAATTTCGAAAACCTTTGCCAAAAACATTTTCAGATTTTGGGTAAAAGCAACCTATCAAGAGACTCCTAGAGAAGAAGAAATGAGGGGGTGGGGGCAAGAGGCATGGGGGGGGGAATGGATAGTCTAACCGAGTGGTTCCCAGTATCTTGCTTCCCACTTAGCACTCTGTCAAAAACCTGTGACCCACCATGATGGAAACAAACGGAGAAAAAAGGATGTACAGGCCCTTATGTGTTACTGGGTTTATCATTTATGGAGGGCAAGGGGTCAAGGAGATTAGGAGACAGAGCATCCAGAGGGATACGAGTAGGTTAGCAGGAGATAGCACATCATACTTGCAGGAAGACACAGAACTCAAGGAATGAGTCCTTGTAGTAACGAAAACTTTATTTCCTAAAAATAAGACTTCTGGGTCCCACCTGCCATGCATGCACCACTGGTTCAGAACCCCTTGTAGGAATCACTGCAGCATGCCGTCCTTGACCAGTTGCTCCTCAGGGAATAAAGCCCTGCAGTGGGGAAGGTGCCCGGTCTCTTTTGTATGGGTTCAGGGGAGAGAAGAAAGGCAGAGTGAAATGAAATGAAAAGTGGTTCTTTCCCCCACTTTCTCCAAGCTTCTTCTCTTTTCTAAACTCTAACAAAGGGCTGAGATTCATGACCGGCAGCTCTTGGACAATCTGTAACACACCATTGGAAGTTTCCAGAATGGTAGAAAAGGTACAGGATGTCTTTCTCTTGAATCCCACCCTTCTCTCCATTGCTCTGAGGCACTAGTTCCTGTTCTGACCTGAAAAAAAGCTTTGTGTTGGTGATATGCTGGTGATATATTTTGTTGTGGGTCTCCACAACTGAATTGGATAAAGTCCTACTTAGAATAGACTCCTTGAGATCAATGTTGCCACAGCTAATAATGACTAAGTCTCATTGATTTCAGTGGTTGCGTTTTATTGCCAACCCAGTAAAAGGTTTTGTACTTTCAGTGAAGCAGCTTCTAGTCTACCTCTATTTTATGGCATGACAGACCTATCCATTGGTTGTTGTGGGTTTTTCAGGCTCTTTGTCCGTGTTCTGAAGGTTGTTCCTAACTTTTTGCCAGTCTCTGTGGCCGGCATCTTATCACAACAATACACCCACAACAAGACACACTAATCACCCATCTCCTGAAAAGGACAAAAGCCTATCTCACAGCCATAAATACTCCACTCCCAAGCAAACTACACCAGAGCACAGA